CTTTTAAAAAAAAAAGAAAGTGTTAGCGGACCCAAGGCAGGGGGGAATGAGGACCGCAGAAACTCCTTCTAGCCAGAGGGCAGACTGAGCCTAGGGAGTCTTTCACGTGTTAAGCAGGGACCGGCACCATCCAGGCCAGGGAGCTTGAGGAGGATGCTGGGGGCCGTTGTGGGCAGAGCACATCAGCATCGGCCAGCCTGGAAGTGGGAACCCCAGGGCGGGGGCAGCTCCCTGGACCAGGACCTGGAAGCTTGCTAGAGAAGGGGTCGGGGGAGGCGTGTGACAGTGCTGCGAGCTGAGGAGGGGGCTTATGGTCAGTGAGGAGATGCCGAGTCCCTGGTGGGAATGCTGGGCTTTGTGGGCCTCCTTAGCAAAGGACCCCCAAGGCAGGATGGGAGCGGGAAAGCTCAGTGGGAGGCCCAGCAGCCCCTTCCCCAGAGAAAATAGGTGGATGCCGGGGCCCGGGTGAGAAGTGACTGGTAGCGTGCCAGCGGAAGCACGAGGAGGCAGAGGACAGGCGCTGGCTGGGCGCTCGAACTGGGCTGGACTGGAATTGAGCAGGTGCTCACGGGGCTCCCACGGCAAGGGAGAGCTGACCGTCAGACCGTGCCGCGCTTTCCAGGCCTGAATTGCCGGAGGGGAGATGGGCATTGTGCAGACTAAGAAGCGAGCGCCGCTCCGGGGTCCGCAGGTAGAAGAACTGACTTAAGTCAGGCAATGGCTCCTCGGCTGGGGCACTGGCCGCGTCCCACCGGCCGCGTGTGCAAACCGAGGCCTGGACCGGTTAAGGCCTGAGGTCACACAAATGTTAGGTGGGGGGGGCCAGAGTTCGAACACAGACAGCCCCTGTCATCCCCACCTGCCACCCTCTTGGCCTTTGAGCCCCCTTCAGAGTGCAGAACCTTTTCTCTCCACAACAGTGACAGATTTCTTAGCTACTAGGCCAGCTCGTGCCGCAGCTGGTCCCAAAGCCGTTGACAGTCCGTGATAAGTGCACACTGTCTTCTTGTCACCCGCTTCTGTGGCTGCAGGACATGGCGGTTTAATCCTGCGGGAGGAAAGAAGGCGACTCTGGATGGTGTGGCACTTCAGGGGAGGGCGCAGGGCCAGCCGAGGTAGAAGGCGGAAAAGCAGAGGGGAGCTGCTTGTCCTCCTCTCCCTGCCGCGCCCCTCCGTCCTCTCCCCCACCTTCCCCTCCTTCTTCTCCACCCTCCCCTCCTCCCCCTCCAGTACTGTCCCATCCCTTGCTTTGGATTCCAGAACTTGCCACAGCTAAGGTCTCTAGTTCAACTGGATGTTTGGCTAAAGGGGCTCGGGGCTGTCTGGAAATGTCAGCATTGATGAGACCACTGAGGTGGGAAAACCCTTTCCGAATTGTAACAGTGGGCCTTGGGAAGGTCTAAGTCTCTAAATGCCGTGGATCCAAGAGAACTAGAGCAAGGAGCAGGATTTTCCTACCACCCAGAGGAGAGAAGAACCGCATGGGTTCAGGAGAGAAAGGCACGGAACCCCTAGGGGAGAGTGCATTCTAGGGGCTTCCAGAAGCCGCAAGTAAGAAGGGGAACACACTGTAGGTATCGCTTTGCTTTCATTTGTTTTCTTCTGATGAAAACTGTTGGTGGACCCTGAGGCAGAGAGTTGGGAAGCTGGAGGCTCTCTTTTGGGTGCTTTTCTTTGTAACCCCACTGTTTTTGTGACCACAGGGGAAGAGGCACAACAGTCTTCCACTCCCGCCAGCCGGTCAGCGGGACCACTGCCTTTCTCTGGCCTGTGTCCGCCGCTCTGGGGCAAGGTCTAGGGCAAGGTCGCAGCATCTGCGTCAGAAATCACGGGAACTTGGCCTGCTGAAGAAGCTGGCTCAGCTGGGAGGCCAAGGCATGTTTTAGCAAAGCAGTTTATCTTAATTCTGAACGGACAGTGGAGGCCACCTCGAGGCCTCCCTGGGGCTCCACATGAAGCCCGAGTCCAGGCAGGCCCTCTTCCACGTGGCTGTGGCCAGCTGCTTCTGCACAGCCACCGTCTACATGGGTGTGTTCGATGGCATCTTTGTCCAGCTGGGCTATGAATACTATGCCGAAGCCCCTGTCACCGGCCTCCCCGCCTTCCTGGCCATGCCCTTCAACTCACTCATTAACGTGGCCTACGTCCTGTTGGGGCTATATTGGCTGCAGAGGAAGGCCAGGGCCCCGGGGCACCCCATGGAGGCGCGGAGGGCTCGCTACCTGAAGGATGTCTTCGCCAGCATGGCCCTGGTCTATGGCCCGGTTCAGTGGCTGTGGATTGCGACGCAGGTGCACCCCGCCGCTGTGCTGGACCAGTGGTTCACCTTGCCCATCTTCGCGTGGCCAGTTGCCTGGTGTCTCTCCCTAGACAGGGGTTGGGATCCCTGGTTGTTCCTTGCCATCGAGGGTCTCTCCCTGGGCAATTACGGCCTCACCCTGCTACACTCCTGTGGGTTCGAGGTCGCGCTGGGCGCCCACATCGCAGCTGCCGTGGCCCAGGCCCTGCGCACTCACAGGCGCCACGGCACTGCCTCCTCGGGGACCTACTTGGCTCTGGGCGTGCTCTCCTGTGCGGGCTTTGTGGTCCTCAAGCTGTGCGACCATCAGCTCGTGCAGTGGCGTCTCTTCCAGCGGCTCACAGGCCACTTCTGGTCCAAAGTCTGTGACGTGCTCCAGTTCCATTTCGCTTTCTTGTTTCTGACAAACTTGAACACTTGCCAAAGCCCTCCTGAGGGGAAGATACATTAAAGTTTGCCCGGAAGAAACTTAAAAAAAAGAAGAAGAAGAAATGGAACGGGTGGCCGGCTCAGTCAGAAGAGCGCTTGACTCTTGATCTTGGGGTCCTGAGTTCAAGCCCCATGTGGGGGGCAGAGATGACTTAAATAAATCGAAGAAAACTTAAGGAAAACTAAAGTGTGGAACAAAGCTGCTTTGTCACCCCGTCCCTCCCCCCACTGACCACCCGCCTGCAGCTGTCATCGGTGTGCAATTTCCTAGGTGTGATAAGATAGGAGGGTCACACGGAAGACTGTCCCTTCCCTCAAAGTTATGGACTTCGAGATTTAGAGGCGAAATGTTATGCGGTCTGAGACTTTCGCAGACATAAAGCAGATGGCTTAGTGCAGGGGATGGAGGGGGTCATTGTACTAGTCTTGTAACTCTTCTGTAGTTTGAAATTTTTTCAGAATAAAAGGATGGGGGCAAATGACGCCAGGAAATCCATCACTGTCACGGTGGGAGAGAAATGGTTACCCACATGGCAGGCCAGGCAGCAGGCGTGCCAGTGAGTGTCCCCAGGGTCGAGTGGGTTCAGGGAGACCAAGTTACTTCGCACACAGGCTGTGCAGGCTAATGGGGAAATCAAAAGCCAAGGTCACGTGGCAGAAGCCCCATCATTTCAGGTCCTTTGTGGAACAAGGCACGGTGTGTCTACATGAAGGAAACACAAACATCAAAAGTTGAATTCTCAACAGAGGGCCCCTGGGTGGCTCAGTCGGTTGGCTGACTTCTGCTTGGATCATGATCCCAGAGTCCTGGGATCGAGCCCCACATGGGGCTCCCTGCTCAGTGGGGAGCCTGCTTCCCCCCCTCCCTCCACCTGCCGCTCCCCCTGCTTGTGCATGCGCTCGCTCTCTCGCTCTCTCACTCTCTCTCTCAAATGGGTAAATCTTAAAAAAAAAAAAAATGAATTCTCAACAGAACGTTGCCCTGGGAGCCAGGGGGTGGCTTAAATGTCCTTAGTGGCAAGGCTTACTGAAGGGTCCTGTGGAGGTTTCCCTCGGACAGACCCAGCGCCTGGGCTCAGCCAGCCCTGCCTCCCGCTCGTCAGTGCGCCGTCCACCCGCTCGTTTCATCCGCTGTCATCGGAAGGACATCTGTTCTTCAAAGAAAAAGGTGAAGGCACAGTTAAAGAGGACACCGTCTCTGCCCACATGCACCTGCTCAGTGTCCCCCAAGACCCCTCCCTGGGGCCTGCGGGTTGGCATGGGGACCATTGCAGTGACTGCTGAGATGCTTTTGAAACTGGGTACCTGGACGCCTCCCAAGTGCGTGGTGGGCCTGACCGACCTCTACCCTCCCGCAAGGCCTGGGCAAATGGTGTGGCCTGGCTCGGGGACGGGTACCCGGAGGCCGGGTATGCCACCAGGTGAAGAGCGGGGTGGCACTTCCTTGGGTAAACAGCTTTGTCCCGTCACAGTGTCCCTAGGGAGGCCAGCGGGAGGGAGGGGAAGATGTGCTTCCTTGGGTGGCCCAGGTAGGGGTGAGGGTGGGAGGGTGGGGGCAGAGGGGACCAAGCTCTTAGAGGGGCTGTGTTCTTCACCGAGTAGCTGAGGGGTCCCCCCCAGTGTCGCCCACGTTTGCTGTTTGCCTCGTTGCTAGACACGTCCTTCATTTGATTTCACCCCATTTCAGTAAATAAGCCTGAGACTCTTCTGGTTTTCAGTCTGGGTCTGCACAGGAAACAGGTGGCATGCCCAGATTCGGGTGACTCAGGACAGTTTCATGGAGAACTAGACACACCACGGTGGGGGTTGGGGGGCTGCAGGCGGGGCCCTCTACCATGCTGGGGCCAGGGTGACACGGGCCAGGGCAGAGACTTCTTGAAGCCCAACCCCTTCTAGGCTGCCTGTCTCCCCTCCAAGGCCGTCAGATAAAATGTAGCACCACAACAATGTTTTAGTCCCAGCCTGTCCCAAATACCGCAGGAGACAGGCTTGTACTAAAAAATTGTTCACTGTTTATCTTAAATTCATATTTAGCTGGGTGTCCTGACTTTGTATTTGCTCAACCAGCTAACCCAACCAAAGTCAGGGGCCTGGAACCTTCTCTCCATGCTCCCTATCTTCTCAAAGTGTGGCTTCCTGCGTCCTCTCCAGCCATGGTGAGCCCCAGGTTCTGGGTCCTGGGCCTGGCGTCCCATACCACCTTGGCCCAGCACTGTCGGAGCCACCGGAGGAAGAAGGCTGGTGGCCCTGCCGCCCCTCCCTGTCTCCACCCACATTCCCCACCCCCTCTGTCTGCTCTGTTTCTCCATCTCACCGCTGCACGGCTGAGAAGCCAGTGGTTACCAGAGGGGCCCTCTGCCTGCTCTTGGCCTAAACGGCTTAGAGGTCCCCAAAGCTGGGAGACGTCTCCGAAATCGTCTGCCCCAACCCCCTCATTTCACAGAAAGGAAACTCTAGAAGTCCGACTTGGCTGACAGTTGCATCAGAAACCCGGCCTCCCACCCCCTGCCCAAAGTCCTGCCCATGGCCGTGGCTCTATCCCTCCCTGGTGTCTCAGCCTCTCTTCCTTGTGCTCCCATAACCACAGCCTGGGATGTGCCCCCCCAGTGAAAACAGTGGGGTGCTTTTGCTGACTGTGGAAGTGACACAGGCTCCTTGGGGTGGGACCGCGGGAGTGGGGGTCGGTGGACACGCCGCAAGGATGTACTGTCCTTGGCGGGGCCGGTCCGGGTTCCTTCACCCTGTGCACGCACCATGCCCCGGAGAGGGGTTAGCACACTTTTTCACTTTGTACCAGCCTGATGGGGGCAACGCGTGATCGCACCGTGAGTTTGCCTCCTGCCCCCATGTGCCCCGTTGGAGCTCCTGCCCTCGCTGGAAGTTTGGGGTTTGTTCTTCCTCATTCTTGCCTTGTCTTTTTTCTTCTTAGTTTGTAGGAACTCTGTTTTCTATTATAAACACTAACTGGCCATCTGGCATACAGATGATGAATACGTTTTCTCAGTCTATCGTTTGTCCCTTCACTTCGTGGACTGAAGGTTTGCATGGTCCCAGGTGTCTGTGTCCGTCTTTCTCTACATCACTTTTGGGTTTCTGGTCTCGCATTGTCCAATCCTAACATCTCCTGTAGCTGCTTCAGATATTTTTGGCTCTGAAACTCTCATTATGAAATTGCTAAGAATAGGGGCCCCTGTCTGGCTCCGTCGATGCAGCGTGCGGCTCTTGATCTCAGTCAGGGTCGTGAGTTCGAGCCCTGCGTTGGGCATAGAGATTACTTTAAAAAATTATTTAAAACAGCAATTATAAAAATAGTTAAAATTTACGTTTAGCAATAAAACTGTTCAGCTGTTATTGTCAACATGACGGTTTACCGAACCGGAGTCAGCGGGTGCTCTCTGTGATCACGTCGACTTGAGGAGAGGAGAACTTCTCTGTGTGAGAAGTTTCGTCACAGCCCGGGGAGGCAGAAGCGCTGCCAGCAGGTAAAGCACTTCCCTCTCACGTCCGGAGATGTCCGGAAGCTGCAGTCTTTGGATGAGCATAACCCAGATGGTTCGAGTCCTCCGGTGTGATTGGAGAGCCCCTCCTTCCCCTTCCAAGTGGAGGCTTGGGTCCCGGGTCCTTTCGACAATCCCCATGCCTGTTGCAAAGACAAGCAGCCTTCCTGCTAGCTGCCCCCTTGAGCCCCTGCCGCCTTTCTGCCCCACAAGCTGGCGGCCACTGGGCCACACGGCTGCGCGCCAGGAGGCATTGCCTGCGGTGGCCGTGGGGCTCACTGATGCCAGGGCCCGGCCCCTGTGGGTCTGGTGAGCCGCCCAAGCCTGCCTGCTGTTTGCAGCCTGGGCCAGGGTGGCAGAACAGCTCCTTCCAACCATGGTCATGTTTTTCTAGTCTTTTCTTCCACTTCCTGCCCTTCGCTTTGATCTTTGCCCTCTGTTTCTCTTCGGAATCGCTGACTTCTGGTTTTACTTCTGTCTCTTTTCTCTCGGCCCCGCCTGACTTACACTGGGGCCTCTGCCGGGGTGTGTGCATTGTCCCCGCCTCGGCCGGCTCAGGGCTCTTCCTTTGAAAGACACGAAACCTGGCAGATGAAACGGGAGTCCCACCCTGGCCTTCCTGCCCCAGAGGTAACCCCCACCCAGGCTTGGGGATACCCTGTTCCCCCACCTGCTCATCCCTTTCCTGGTGCATCCTTTTCCTCGTGCATTGTAACTTTCTATAAACGCCACGCAGGGTCCAGGCCCTTCTCCCACAGGCTGTGGAACCGGTCTCCTGGGGTGCCCAGTGACGTAATCCCTCCCTTCTGAGTATCTGCCCGTGCACAAGTCCCCAGATCCGTCACCAAGAAGTTGCCAGAACTACTGCCCGCCAGAGTCCCCACGGCTCCCTGTCAGCCCCGGCACTCGGTGCTGGCAGAGGACTGACTGGGGCCCATGCAACGGGGGTGAACGAGAATTTCATTTCCTCCTTGGTTGCCTCTCCTGACCTAAAGTAGAGGTTGTCTGAGCAAATTAAACACGGATGCCGTTGGAGCCAGCAGTGCCACTTCTGGGTGTCCCCCCAAAAGAAGTGAAAGCAGGGGCTGGGGAGAGATGTGCACCCATGTTCGTGGCAGCATGAGTCCCAGTAGCAGCCCCAAAGGCCCCGAGGGCTCATCGAGGGGTGAACGGAGAAGCCAAACGGGGTCTCTCCACGCAGAGGAACGTTCTTCCGTCTTCAGAAGGCGGGAGCTCGGACACCGGCCGCGACCCGGCTGAGCCCGGGAGCCATTCCGCGGAGCGAGGGACGCCGGACGCGAAAGGGCAGGTGCCGCGGGAGTCCGATGCGACCCGGCGCCCGGAGCAGTGGGGCGCAGAGAGACGGGGCACGGGACGGTGGGCGCCGGGGTGGGGGCTGGGGGAGACTGAGGGGGCGCCGGTGTCCAGCCTCAGTCTGGGAAGATGGGAAGGTTCTGGGGAAGGATCGTGGAGATGACCGCGCTGCTCGACGTAGGAATGCGCTTCGTGCCGCGGACCTGTGTGCTTGCACATGGCTAAGGTGGCACAGTG